CTTGCACCCCAATGCCGGAAAAAGCGTTGGTTCTGGGTGAAATAATTTACTGGAACTTAATTATACTGTGGGAATATTTTAAACTTTAAGTAATGATTTTATAAACGGTGAAAACTAAGCTATTATATTTAGCACATATAATTTAAACTGCCCTTCATCTTTTGCGTAAGTCGATCTACATTTAGCTATACCTGGGAATTTTGAAATTCTGTGCGTACAATTTTAAAAGGTCTGGTTACGCCCCTGATTAACCTGCTATATTTTCCTTTCTTTCTACCATATTTTTCATTCTAACGGGTTTGTTGGGAACTTATTAAACCTCATGTGTCGATCTCGCTTACTGTTATTGTAGTAGTGGGACAAAAAGCACGTAAACCCAGCCATGGTTTTTAACAGCGCTATAAGTGTTTCGACGTAGCAGGGCTCTCCTACCCACAATGCAATTTCAATTTCCGGAAAAGATGAAAAAGGCTAATACACAAGTTCGCAACAGAGTAATACCTAGCTAGCTGTACTTCTACAATTAGCGGGCGCGGTATCTTAAAGGTACATACAGAACAGAATCAGATCTACTAACGTTGCACACTGTATCATCAGTACAATAATCAGGGGCGGATTTAGGCCGTCTTCTGGGTCTTCCGGAAGACGGTCAGATTTTCATGTTAACATTGACGGGTATCTAATTCTTTTGTCGGAAGACGGTCAAAAGAGAAGAATGGATCAACAAAGATAATTTAGAAGACTGTCAGAAAATATCTCTGAATCCGCCCATGATAATGTTTAGAAACAGTAAAATGTAATCATGAGTGAACAGAGCATGAGTGAACATAGCAACAATAAGTGGCCCTGAGGCGCACCTGTATTAAAATCTAAGAAGACCCATTGGTTGTTTCGCTGTAAATGTCAAGCAGCTGATGGCACATAAAGGTGCCAGTAGGCCCCTACTTACAAAAAATGTATATCCCCCGGGTCTTTGTGCTTACCTCACCTGAAAGGCGTTATATCCCATAGCCGTCGTATCGAACTTCTACATTACCCGGTAGTATGTCGTCTCGAATTCTATTCCGAAACCGTGCTACGTAGCAGGCCTAAGGACAGTAGATGAGGTGAACTGTTGTAAGCAACAACAAGTGATACAATCAAACTCTATGTACAAGTCAGTTCGAGCAATGTCTCCTTGTTGCGAGCTCAGTTATACGGTATGTGAATAATTTTACACGTGTAGTCTATATTATGAGTGACTGCCTGCGTAAACCTGGAATATCTGGTAATAAATTTGTCACTACCTGACTGCTAAAGTTTTCTTTGAACGAAAAATTTCACTTTTGTGTTACATATACTATCTTCTCTATGCCTATCTTTTAATGTGGGCTAATACAGTGCATAAGGTGTGATATTTACACCACACAGGTATATTTACATAGGCAGGTGTAAAACCACGTGTCTAATTTACCCGCGAAAATATAACCCTTTGTGAATTTTACAAAATTGGTGGAAATGTTTATTGTGTTCCAGTCAATGCTCAACGTGTTTTTACCCTGAAACTCCTAACGGGGAACACCTTAATGCCCGATATTTTGCCCATAGTTATTGTATAGGGGTAGCTAGCTCTATTGTATTTAAAACGCTCTTAAGTGCAGGAATGGGGATTATCACAAATAAGTACATGTAAAGTGTATTAGGACTTAAACTATAAAAGGAACTTCAAAAAGTGAAAACTAAAGGTCCATTCAGACTAACACCCCATTTCCATAGATTAGATCGACCTACTTTAGATCGACCTAACTCCCTGGGGTTCACGCTAAATAGCTGTCAGCCGGGCGGACACGAAAGTTAATTACCCCTTACAGCTTGTAGTAGGCGGGACGGACATTTAAGGCGGATTATCTGAAAGTAATCTAGTGAGACTCCCCGCGGGGATAGATCGATCTAAAATCTATGGGAATAGAGCCTAATACACATTTTTCTTCATCCATAGGTAATGCTGATAGTACAGACTACTTGTACAAATGTAGTATTGGGAAGAGAAGGACACGGCAATGTAACTGGTCAGTCTGAAGATCAACCCATTTCCGAGGTTCTTCCAAACTGTGACCCGCTCAACCAATACTTCACAGTTCACAAGAATGGCACGATTGGGTGCACCACTTGTTCGGTCTGTCTCCCGGGATCTGGCGTGTTCTGGCAATGCCAGGGTTTTAACGACACCGTTTGCAAAAAATGTGAAGATGGAGTGTCTTATTCTGTAGTCATCGATTATACTAGGGTATGTGACGAGTGCAATTCGTGTGAAGATGGCCAGGTTCTGTTGAGAACTTGCACCAAAAACCATAATGTTCTTTGTGGACGATGTAAGCCAGGTACTCTTTTCATTTGTCGTGTTATGAAAATAGTGTCAAGTTGGAAAAACGACGATGACCTGAAAACTTTGTGCTTTTGTTCATCATCATTAATAAAGAATTGTTTATTTAGAAGCATCTTTTATTTATCAAATTCCATGTTTTTGTGATCATTAGTTTACGTTATTAATGAAAAATTTCTTCGATTGACTTCAAATATTTGAATGAAACATGCATTGACATCTACGTATCGTATATCCCCCAAATTAAAGCACGAAGTAATCAGCGTTGTCTGTTTTTATTTACAGGTTACGATTTGGATAATGTAACTGGTGATTGCATACGAAAAGAAAAAATTGAGCAAGCGATGACTAAAGTCTGGATTCGTCCCACGCTGAGTAATGTTGCAGTTTGAAATGTCGAAGGACAGATTTCACTTAAATCTGTCTCATTATTTCTAGTTCAAATATACATTTTCCTTATCATGACACTTTGTCTTTGGTGGTAAAACAACTGAAAAACACAGTCAAACACATTTAGTGTCATTTCACATTATTGCCGATGCAGTTATGTATTTGGAAATTTTAATCAGCTGGCTAAATTGATCAATTGATCAACAAACAGCGCCGAGTAATTTGTTTTTTTTATTTCCAGGCATCCCAAAACATAAAGGGAAAGAATTTTCCAAGAGTATTTTGCTAATAGCTGTCACCGTCGTAGGTGGAGTATTGATATTATTGCTGATTGTAGCACTGGCAGTGTATGTACACAGGAAAAGAAAGTGCAGAATGAACAGAAGCAGCGAGGACTCCACGGAGCTCATCGTGTGGTCCCAATCTACAGACGATTGCGAAATTTGACATTAACTGAATGAAACACAAGCAACATTTTACTATTAAATCAGTTATTTAGGACGTGCTTTTGAATGCACGCTGTCAACCAAAATGTAAAATGATACTAGAAGTCTAGTGTCACTCACCAAAATTTACCCCAGTATTCATTCTCTTACTTTATCCGCTATTTATCAGTGCACACATAATGTGCAATTTGTTCATTAAGGATCGTCTTCACCTTAAACCCGGCGGTCGCCAGCAACTCTTCCATGTTTTCGACTCCCCAACAGGGTCCCAATCCAGGCCCACCATAAAACATTGAGGATGGAATGCAGTGAAATAGGCCTGCGGTATAGACAGTGTTGGTTATAGGGGAATGGAGGTTTTCACTAACTTTGCTGCGCATGGGAAGGTCTATAATAGACGCCAGACCGTCTGGTTTTAAGACCCGCTTTATTTCACTGAGCATTTTCTTCGGGTCTGTCGCGTCATGGATCACTTTGACCGTGATGACGTAGTCGTACATCCCGGACCAATCAGACGGGAGATTTTGACCATCCTTTTCAGCAAAGGCGACGTTGCTGATTTTGTCATTGGCAGCTGTTTCAGAGGCATATTTAATAGCTTCTGAACAAGAATCAATCCCGAAAAACTGGCTTTTTGTGAACTTCCTGGCAAACGTCTTCATAAAGTCACCACTTCCGCAGCCAATTTCCAAGATTGATGCACCTGTCTCTGTGGGAATATATGCATGACAAACTGTAGGCTACAACAACTTGTTAACACACACATTTTTCTGTGAACAATTTACTTTTAGAGATATAAAGGTAATTGAAAATGCTGGTTTAATTTGTTTGGCTAAAGACATAAACCACAAACTTTTATTGTATCCTCCGCACACTTTTTCTAGACAACATACAGGGTACACTGTATATGCAAAACACAATGTTAATCTTTTTTTTTTTTCTTCAAAATACGAACCTAACTTTGATGTCAGCGATGGTATATTGTCCGCAAGTTGTTTCATCAGATTTGGCCAGAACCTCCCAGCAAAGAGCTTACTTCGCACCTGGATTAATTCTTTATAGGGTTCATATGGAATCCCTTAAATTAAAAAAAATGTTGCCATTGTAAAAAAACAGTACATACAGTGTACAGGAAAACGCTATATTTTATCATGTACATGTACTTTGTCAGGCCAAATATTTTTAAAATATTGTGTTTAATATGGGTTCTATAGGATGTCCTCAATATACACGTAAAAAGTTTTGTATTTGTGTGTATGCGATCGCTTTGTAAGATAGGTGTATCCGAGTTTTAAGATTAGAAGTTTAGCCTCAAGAGAGTTAAAAAGAATATTTTTACGAGAGAGACAAGCCAAATTAGTACTTACTGTGCAATAAATGCAAAACGAAAATGTTTTCACTAGGAAAAAATCAACAACCGTCTACAGTTATATTGCCTAGCGCTTTACTTGGCAGTTGTCTCAGCAATAAATCATTATCACATTAATGTGTTGCATCTATTTTGAGACACCCTGTACAAAAGTATGACACGTAGGTCTATGGGACCATTCCCACAGATATTTGAATCGATCTATCTCCCTGTGGAGTCTCTTCGGTAGGCGTGACAGAAATTTAAGCCGGTTCAGTTGATACAATTTAGTGAGACTCCCCAGGGAGTGAGACCGATCCAGATGGATCGATCTAGGTATGGGAACCCAGTCTTTGGCTGCGCAGGCCATACGTACCCTGTGGTCCATCAGCACGGAAACACTCCTCTAGCTGGTGTTGGACGTTAGCAAAGACCGGCAAGCCGTATAACCAGACAGCGGATGCTCCTCCGGTGTCAACACACAAACTGGGGAGACGGTCCTCGGGGACGTAATACCTCTCCTCGCCGTCCGCGTGCTCCGTGCTTATTTTAATGATATCGCTACAGGCCATCTGCCCTAGCCACTGCTGGATGTATCTGGATGACAATATAAGTTGTGGTTACATTAAATTCAGGGGCGGATCCAGAGATATTTTCTGACAGTCTTCTAAATTATCTTTGTTAATCCATCCTCTATTTTGACCGTCTTCCGACAGAAAACATTAGATACCCGTCAATGTAAACTTTAAAATCTGACCGTCTTCCGGAAGACCCAGAAGACGGCCTAAATCCGCGGCCTAAAGATAATGTTAATTTAAATACCGGTAGAAGGCACCTGAAAAGTTGAAGAAAATTAATAAGGTTAATAACTGGAATTGTTCTTTTATTAATTGCAGTAAATTTATTCTTCTATAACTTCTAAAATTAAAAAGACCTCGTATAATTTTCCTTTATCAATCAAGAACATTTTGTATATTTAAGTTTATTTTCGATCTACTGCGTCAATTGAAAACTGTGATATGTTTTCTAATACATTTACTTTACCAGGAAAACAACGCATCCTCGTTTTATACCTTTCTTTCTTCATTTCTAAAGAAAACAACCACTTTAAAGTTAAATCAAAGTTAAAATTTGAGCACCAATAACCTGACAACTTTTTATCAACTATTATAAACCTGCATTTGTATGAAGTAAAGCTGCGTTGGTGAAAAGTAATTTGAAGATCAAGAGCAGTTACGCAATCAAACGTTATACGGCCATTTTGGATTCGCACGTTATATGTGAGGGTTAGGCTTGGCGAATAAAAAGTCCCAAGGCACCGTTGTAGTGAATATCAATTATCACAATTTATTACTTGGAACTCATCACTCCTACAGCATTGAGCCAAAGTATTCGCGTATGCGATTGTTATTACTTACCCAGTGCCAGCATTGTTAGACAAGATGCAGTAACAATGTTCGCTTCTCCAATTAAAAAGATGCAAAAATAAATCAATCCATTTTCACTAAATATGGTTCATCAACGTGTTCAACCCAAAGTTTATATGATACATCTTTTTGTTCAGATGATCGGCCATAACGATATAGAATAATCAAGGTAATAACACAATACAGTGTACAGTAATTCCCACCACTATAGTATTTCAGTATTGACAAATTTATTGATGACTGAGTTTCACATAAAATTAATTTAAAAGTCCATTCATTACATTCACATTGTGTTATGATATGATAAAGCCTACTCAGAGTTATCATATCATATAAAATTATTTCATGTACCTTTATCTCATACAGTCGAGTAATTCAACTGATAGCAATAAGTTTATTAGCTTCTTCATTAGCAATGACTCCTTCATATTTACTTATTAATCCAAAGACGCAATTACAAATTCAATAGATTTAATATGTTACATATTTGGCAGCAATATTGTGTCGGAAATGGCACTTACAGATACTCTTACGTGTTACATACGAAATGAATAATGGCATACATGTATCACAAAGTTAAAATTCTTATTTCTACACGATCTTCCTGAAGCCTATACTCCAGAGTTTTCGGTCTCCTCCGACACGTTCGTCAGTGATTTGGGGGCTGAATACTGATAAGCTGTAATTACTTAACACTACTATACAGGTGAGCTTGGACCATCAGAATTATGACAAAGATACCATGCTATGTTGTATCAAGGAGTTATAACTCCTTGGTTGTATCAAGTGCAATCAGAACCATGAGCATGGTTGTATACATACAACACTGTCAATGAGTAATCATGTGTAACTAGGATTTCAGTATAAATGGCACGGATTTGCTGTATTGAGTCCCATTTCGTAAAAGAAAAAATGCGAAAACGTTAGTTTATCTTGACCTGCGATTAAACTGATGTGAACCATAAATATGAAGTAACTGTAATCCTCGGTCCTTAATACAGATTCCCTTTTGTTTTTATTTCTTTTGTGAAGCAGGGGGCAGGACGTACGTCTATTTAAAAAGTCCGTAATCAAGGTCGAACCGGGGATGATTCCTAAAGTTACATATGGACGGACATGTGAAACAATGCTTTCAAAAGAGATAAACTGTAATACACCCTTGTGTGCTCCCAGCCCCCCCCCTCCCCAAACCTCCTCTCCCCCCCCCAAAAAAAAAATAATAATAATAATCCCATGTGAACGATGCCTCCGCAATTTTTTTACATGCATCACATTGTAAGAAGTGCTACCACACAGTGCTTTAAAATTAGGCTACTTGCAATATAACCTAGTACAAAAAAAGGAAGAAAATAAAAAACGGCGCGTGTGCCGAGACATGCAAAATCACGTAAGCATGCTGATTTATGGTCGGTATGTATACAACTTGAAAGCTTTGCTATCGGGCTGCCTCGGTATTATTTCTTCATTTATAACGGCAGGTTGCCTACTCTGCTCATTTGAAGAACCCGACAGCGAAAATGAGCGTGTGGTCAGCTTATTCGTCATTCTGCTGTGAAATTGTCCTTCCTCTGAAGCAAATGCCTAAGGTGAGCTGTTTGTTATTCAGTGAAATTATTATTATTATTATTATTATCGACTGTTTAGTTAACAAACTACATGTACAACCACCACATGCAGTTTATGTGTCAAATTATAATTATATTTATATGAACACTTTTGTCAAGTATGCAGAAAGTCTTACGTCAGTCACATAGGTGTAATTTTCATCGCATTTTATCTTCCAAATTTGCCATGAGGCAGTTAGTACTTACTTTTCAGATGCGTGTTACACTTCTAATACCACTCGTCTTAAATTTGCATATCCTCTATAATTGAAATTTTCTCGGCGCTGTAATATCAGGGCAAATGATCATACCAAAAGTACGAATCCATAGTCTTCCTAGACTGACGGTGCCAATGCTAAAAGCAAAAACGCAACGAAGATATGTTACCAGTCACTTGAGTTCTGTCAAGTACTAAATAATGTGCTGGCATGCTATCGTGTAGAGGGCGAGGGGGCAGCAGTGTATTTTTGTCATATTTAAAAAAGGAAACTGTTCATATTTCCTATAAAACCCCCGAATCGTTTACACAATTCGCTGATATCGTCGCTCATTAGTTGACATCAAAGGAAGATCTTCCCCGATTCTACTAAAAGTTTCTATTCAGCTGTGGTCACCGTCCAATCTTTTTCTTTGGTGTGGATGATTTGTGACTGTGCATTGTCAGAATCACAGGTATTTTCCGTGAATATTTGGTTGATCCCCTGTCCTTCTCACGCGCGTAACAGTCATTGCCAAAGCAATCTTACTTCTTCACATATCAGAAACACAGTATTAAGAAAACGTTGTTGTCCCTGAACTCGTTGGTGTTTCGTTTCCAAAACCGTTGATTTCATTACCTTTGCACATCGTGAGCAAAATGCAGAATTGACATTTACACGGACTCTGAAAATACCATTAAAATCATTGATAACGGGCAATCTCCGCCATCTCGACGCAACCTGAGTGATACTTAAAGATTGACCAACTTACCGATAAGTACATCAGTTATTGTTCTTAATTCATTTTACAAACGGGAGGGGGGGTGTGTGAACCCTGAACTCTTTTCCCAAGGCGCATAACGTTTTTTTTTCTAATATTACAGTCATTATCTTTGCATGCGACACCACTTCTGGTAATTTGAAATACAAAAATCAAACACCAATATGAGCATAGCATCTTTGATATGCTACGACTTCGTCTCTCTGGCGCCTTCACATCAAGCGGTACTATTTAACGATACAGATGCAGCCTACTGGGACCCTGAGGACCCTGACTGACAGCTTTCAAATATTAAAATATCCTGGTTGTTACGAAGGAGATTTGCCGTCCCCTGCTCGACACGGCTAATTAATCAACTTGAGAAAGCTACAATTTACTAAACCTCCCTGCAGTTCAATTACGTGCCAGGACCTCTCGAAGTGTACCGATACAGCTGTATCACGAATGTACACCCCATCTTGTGAAAAGGCCTACTATCTGACCACAGGGACCGCTATTAGTCTTTTATTGTATCAGCCTCTTCTTCAATTCTGTTAATTTTTCTAGAAGTTCTTGTAATATTAGTGATATTATAGGATTAAAAGGCCCATGTTTATTATGTTTACATAACAACTGTATAACACTCAGCTGCTTACTTTTTCTGCGCACGTAACACCACAAAGTGAAAACACAAGGTTACCCAACATAGTAGTATCTAACTAACCGCAGACGCAGAATCAATAGCTCATAAGCATCCGGTAAATGCCGAGGCGGCGTTATACTGGGATATAGAAGGCAAACTCAAGTCCACAAGCCATAATCGTCTTTTGGCAGGAAGTATTCATCCTCTACACATGGCGCCCGATGGCGTAATATTTGTGTTGATTTTTTCTAACCCAACCAAATAACCTAATCAGGTCACTGCGTAATCAGAAAAAGACCAAAACTTAGTGGGCGTGTTTAACGTCATGGAAGAGGAGGTTTCTATGCATTTCAATCTGTGGCAGAGTACATGTATGTGAAGACGTCTTCATTTTCAACAGCAACTTATGTTCGGAAATTCTTAACTCAGGAGATGGTAAGGTCATTTTCCGCAGTTTCTTAGTCTTATCCTCATCATTTAGCTGTCTGCAGCAATGCACAAACATCAATGAGGGGTTACTGTACTGGCAGGAATTAAAATTAATCAGTTGTGTAATGTTGTAAGAATAAAATAATTTTCTTCAATCAACAGCTCATATTGAAAGTGTTTACCTCCAATATTTCGATGTCTGTCTAGGCCATCTTCATCATGGAATGTTAAGGTGAATATCGGGGGATGGGGGGGGGGGGGGGGGCAAGTATATCTCCAGAAAAGAGGCCAATCACCTGGATAACCTCATTCCCGATGAAGATGCTCTAGGGAGACATTGAAATAATGGAGGTACAGACTATCAGCTGCTGATTGAAGAAAGTCACTTTATTCTGTTTTTGTATTGTCATAGGCCTAATGTTTAACCTCTGTCATCTCAAATGACGTAATTTGCTGTGGTGGAGAACTGAACAACTTACAAATGAGGACTTTTGACATGGCTTCATAAAGCAAGGGCCCGTGCGAAAATATAAACACACATACACTTAAAATCAATTAAAAAAGTCCATTCTCTACGGCAAAAAATTAAAGAGGAAAATGTAGCATTTTTTAAACTTGCTGTATACATTTCCGTGTTGTGTTAGTGAGAACGTGGAACTCATAATACAAGTGCAAAATGGGTTCAAAGCAAGGAGGAGATACATGTTTATAAACATACTGTGAAGTTAATAATTAACATTCTGTGGTTCGGTGCTCACTCCAGCGAAAAACTAGCAGTCCTAAAATTTGATGCTAGCATTCACAACTAACAGGTCACGTATACCGCAGTTACGTGATGCTCTATATGTCAGTCTCACTGAGCCAGATAAGCATAAACAACAGGTGTAGGATTAATACCGTGAACAAAGTTCGAAACTAGTACAATTTGATCTATATTTCACAGGGGTCCATTGTATACCATAGAAAATCCACAGGCACATAGTACATTAATACTTGCACGTGTGTTGGGGGGGGGGGGGGGGGGCTGGGGCAGTCAGATTAACAGGTTTATTATATGCCATTTTTCTCACGTTGAATATCACGGGGCACATCAAAATCAACCTGAGCACTCTGTCATCTGTCTAGACTGTAGCTTGAAAAGGGTATAATGAGATTTGATTTAGAAAAAACTGTGATACATTTGAAGCATTCTTTGTAAATTTATTTGAACGTCCCAAAAGTCGAAACAACCTTTGAAACCGTTCCTTTATTCCTTGATAACGATAAAGCCAGATTTGAGGAGAGGGCATCTTTTTAATTCATATTGAAAACTTTCTTTTTAAATTTCTTTTTCAAATTTGTTTGAAAGTCTGAAAAGTCGAAACAAGCTTTAAAGTCTTCCTTTGTTTAGAATAAAAACATAAATGGCTCATCGGACCTTTAGATTCTGTTCAATTAACTCATTAATCAAAGAAATAAATTTCTCCTGATTGTTTAGCACCTAGACACTTAGCGATTCATGTAATCAGATCCCGCCTGTAGGTCGTCTCTTCGAAAGCTTTTTTTACCTGTAAATATTTCCTGTAAGCAGCAAGTGTGAATCATTTTTATTCTCGAGACAACAGCATGAAGGTTCGTATGTGGTGAACGCTTTAAATAATCTATATATGATTCCAAGTGTGGCCATCAGTATGTTTCTCTAGCGTACTTACTAACATGACACACATCTGTTTTTTCTATTATATTGTACTTACAGGTGCGGTTCGTCCGCCTCGCTATGGTTTTATTGGGCGTGACCAGCGTTGCCATATTGTATGTCCTCACAAAAGACAAGCCCATGTTCGTTAATCGAGTAAAAGTGAAAAACTTCGGACTACGTCCTGGCGGCCCAGTCGTAACAGAGCGATGGTTCGTGCCCAATATCACAACAGAAATGTATATTCTATCTGCATACTATGACGATAGACTTACTATTGATCCGAAAACCAGGCCCGCTATTCGCATTATAGGAATGGCAGACAAAAATAAAGTTGAAAAGGAAAAGTTCTCTTGCATTGTGACTTATGAAGGAATAAAAAGTCCTATTTTGCAGACAATAACAGTAACCGATATCGGCCGCGGGGGTAGTCGTCACGGGAAACATTTTCGGGAGTACATATTTGTGTGTGCGCCTTTAAAATTTACCTCCAAAAAAGCTATTTTCGTCTCCGTCGTTGATCAAACTTATTTGAAACAATACAATTGGGAATCTCATAAGCAAGTGTGCATTCCTGTACGGTATCCTAGCAACGAGAATAAAGTGGACTTTGGAAGTTGCGTCAGTATCACCTACTGGACGTTCGATCCTTATAGAATAGTGGAGTGGGTGGAGCTTCACAAACTCTGGGGAGTGAAGGAAATCAATATTTACGGCAGCATGGTGAATCAAACCACAGAGAGGGTCTTCTTATACTATCACCAGCAGGGGGTCTTAACTTACACGAGGGTACCCCGGCCCATGACGGAGGACGGAGAAATCATGTTTCATCTAATGGCTACCCCTGTGCTTAATGACTGTATGTATAAGAACATGTACAGATATGGAAAAATCGTCATCACAGATTTAGACGAAATGATAGTTCCTCGTGGAAATATGATGACTTATTCTGAACTTATAGACGCCATCGAAAAGGAGACGAAGCCAAGGCATCCACATCGCATGTATAACTTCAGAAATGTGTATTACTTTTCTGAACTACCACAGAATACGTCAGAGCCACAAGTCACGTTAACGTTACGTCAGACCTACCATTTGAGAGAACTAACGCCAGTTGGGACGTCAACTAAAAGTATCATTGATCCAATGGCTTGCAGAAATGTACATAATCATTACTGCTGGAAAATTGCAGAAAAGCTGGAAAAAACCCGCCATTCTGTTCAAGTGCACGAAAAGTTTGGAATGAATCAACACTACAAAAAATGTCATTTTGACAAATATGCCACTGCGTATCATCTGCCTCCTTGTAAAGAAGCTCTGAAGAATTATACCTTTGATCCCACCATGTTAAAATTTAAGACATATCTTTTACGCAATATAGCAAAGCCTCTCAAAGATCTGCAGCTGGTTGAAAGGAACCTCCCATCAATCTAAGATACATCGTGATTTTTATATTCAGACCTCTTTCAAATCTGGAGCTTTTATAAGGAAAGCTGCCTTCGTGCCAATTACTTTTAATATTTTATAATTCGCGGCGTAAATCAATATAGTGGCAGATATCAGAAACTTGTGTTACTGTGTTTCATTGATCGAAAAAAAAAATCTTTTTGAATCTTATCAAACATTATCGTTACACGCTAAAACACGTACTGAATGCATTTATGTATCAGCTACAATTTATTCCACAGTAATTTTCTTGTGACACAAATTTGAAAAGATATGCTGTAAACTAAATTTGTTCTGTAATTTAAAAGAAAAAACTGATTTTCATCCCCTGCTTCTTGCGGATACGACAGAAAGGGGAGTTCAGGTACAAGAAACATTTTTGAGTGTGTCTATATGCACAAAAGCTTTTTTTTCTTGGGGAGTAGAACGATATCCATACGTTAGCACTTCTGTTGACTATTTTGATCTGTGCCTGTACGCTGCTTTTTTATATTAGGGTAGGGTAAATCAAATTTTCAATTTAAATCAAAGTTTTCCTTGAAGTAAAATTGATACTGAACAAAAATCTAACATTTAATTATTTAAACAACAACCATATAGGTCGGTAATTTGACAATTTTTATAAATGGCAGACAAATAGCCTTCCTAGAGTTTCATCAACAACAAAGGCACTATAGCTTGCCATAGGTCTTTACTTATGTTTTAGAGCTTGCAGGATCCGTTTTTGATGTTACAGGGGCGGATCCAGGATTATTTGAAGAGGGG